TGTAAATAACTCAGAATGCATGAAATGACATTAGACCCCGTTAAGCGCAGCATAGCAAGGCACCGAACCCCCAACTGCTCCCCGGGCGCCGCAGCATAAATGGCTGCCCACTGCTTCGGGTGTGTGTTCACGGTTTGTGTGTGTTCACTGCTGTGTTTGTGCACTTTGGATGGGTAAATGCAGAGCACTAATTCCGAGTATGGGTCACCATACTTGGCCACATGTCACGTCACTTTCACTTTCACATTTGCATAAACTAGCACTTAACTGAAAACAACTAAATGTGTTTTTGGGGGAATAACTGTTATTTTGAACAAGCACGTTTATGCAGTTAGCACAATAAATGAATGCATACACTTTAGAAAAGTAGTGTTACTGTTACATCCCACCACTGCACTGGTGTAGGTTATAGCAACAGCAACACTCCTTAATCTCCAAATATAAAAACAATAACCATAATTCATAGACCAGTCTCACTTATATCACTGATGCTTTGGTGGATTATCCTCAATTTGTCAATAAATTGGTCATCTGTGATATGGATTGAAGTTGCGTCCACAGTGTAAACCAGGCAGAAAGCCTGATCAGACAGTGAAGGGTCACTGATGTAATCTTCACTTGTGTGACTGAGTGGCTCCTCTGGGTTGAACCAAGATTTAAAATAGAGACAGAAAATATGTGAAAATATCATATGTATTGCACAAATATAAATCCTTTATTAAGACATACTGATTGATTGATTGATTGAATGTTTAATTATTCAAATTAATGTGGTTTATTACTTTGTAGTTTTCCTTCATATGTCCAAATACGGCTTGGGTGATATCTTCTGGTTGAGACCCCGCCAATATATGAGATTGTAAACCCGTTGTATCAGTCAAGACAAAAGGCAAATCACAATCTGCACCTCTGACTCTGTATGTTGTAAGCTACAAAACAACAACAATAAAAGAAAATCATAAATACTGTAGTTTCTGACTAATGCACATTGCACATACAATTAGCCAAAATCATTATAGTGCAAATACTTTGGGTCAACTAAAGATTTTTAGGTTACTGTAAAAACGAAAACTTACTGATGCATTTCCTTGGAAAGAAGAAGAAGAAGAAGAAGAAGAAAAACTTAATTTAAGTGCTGTAAGTGCAATATAGTTTGAAAATAATACCTACTCCTTTTGGGAAACTGAAGATATTTGAATCAACTATTGCTCCACTTGTGATCCGTCCTCGGAAGACGTTGTTGACATAATTAATAAAACTGGACTTCCCTGATCTGATTGGTCCAGCTAACAGGATCCTGATGTGCTTTACATCTGGATGACTCACAGAGAACTCTTCTAGACGTTTCTTCAGCATTTCCTTCTGCCTGTGCCAGCACAAGAAACAGAATTATTTGGACTAAGGAACTTCATTGTTATGTGTGGCACATTCAAGTCTCATTGGCTCACACATTTAGTTAGATATGTATTTAGCAAAGGGCTTAGTGTGTTGGCAAAAGAAAATACAAAGATTTGACTGAAATCTTAAAACCAGCAGTACATAATATTAGTCCATTGCATCCTCTACTAATGGAAACCTTTAATAAAAGGTCATAGTACTAATAAAATAATGATTTTTTTTTATCATTTGCTACAATGGTCCTATAGTCACACCCATTTAATTCATATACAATTGTTACTAACATGTGAGAGACCCAAATAATATTTTCTTGACTAAATTGTAGGTTTTGTATGCTACATGACTATATATATATATATATATATATATATATATATATATATATATATGTGTATAT